CTCTAAGATGGGGACAGGGACATATCTTCTTGATAAAGAGCATCTTCCCCTGAGGCTAGAATTTGAAGACAACGAGATTGTCATGGATGAATCTCATCCAACCAGTGCAGAAGCCCAGGAGAAGAGAGAGAGAGAGAGAGAGAGAGAGAGAGAGCTAAGGCTGGAAAAGCAGCAAAGGCAGATAGTGTACCAGATGCTTCACAAGTGATGCTCAAGACCAAGAAAGATCAACTCAGTTATCTACTTGAGGCTACTGTAAGGATTGAGAAAGGCTTGGCCACCCTGACTCAGAATCAAGAAAGTATTGAGAGGATCATTGATACCAAATTCCATGATCTAGATGTGAAGGTCACAGAGATCCAGACTACTGTGGAGAAGCTTCAGGAAGAAGTTGAGGACATGAGTGATATACCTACCACAAACACTTTTCAGAGAGTGCCAAGGGCACAAAGGTCTGGAGCTGTGCCAGTCGTCAATGACACCAGGACTACCATTTCAGCATCTGCAGCAACTGCCTCAGTCATTCCTCCAGTTTCAACTCCTCCAGCTCCTCAGACATCTTTAGAAGTGTTTGCAGATGCTGACCTCTCCACGCCTTCTACGCACACTAGAGCAACCAGCCAAAAGACCACTTCAGGAGCTCCCGGAGATCGTGCCTAGAGTGCCTCATAGCACTATGCATTTTCAAGATTTTTGGTAACTTGTTGCCAAAGGGGAGAAAGTGTATAGATCATTAGGCTTTGAGAGAGAGAGAGAGTGTGTGTGTGTTTTGCTTTTTATTGCCTCTCTTTCTACTTTGACCATTTGCTTTGATCGTTTGCTCGTTTGATTCCTATGCTACAATATTTGTGCTTGCATGATGATATCTATGATATTTGTGTATGATCAATCATGTGTTCCCTTGGTGATGAGTGTATGTTATTCAACTCTTATCATTTTGAGCGCTCTTCAAAGATGTATGTGACATGGAAGAGTGACCATGATCCTAATCAATTGTGCATTTGCATTCAAAAGCAAATTTTAAATAATGCACAAATTCAAGGGGAGCTCTTGCTTATCACATACTTCTCAAAGAGACGATGTATTTCATTCATATTATCATTTGTCGAAGCTTTGATCTATATTTTGTCATCAATTACCAAAAAGGGGGAGATTGAAAGTGCAACTAATCCCCGAGTGGTTTTGGTAATTCATAACAACATATAGCTCATTGAACTAATATCCATTCAAGTTAAACATTTAAGAAAGTTTAATGATTGGCATGGCATGGACTAGAGATGTGGACCCCTTAAAATGCTAAGGACAAAGATTGGCAAAGACCCAAGACTCTTCATTTTCATTTTAGTGATCCGGGATCACATTGAGTTCATAGGAAAGCCAATACTATTAAAAGGGGATGAGTTGTTGCTTAATGGTCTACTTGCTCAAAGTGCTTAGTGAGATTGCTCCAAAATCCTCAGCCACTTTCTCATTTCCACATATGTCCAAAACCTAAAAGTCAAACTCAGCCCCACCGTTTTGATCTATCCGGCACCACCGAGTTCATTTGACCTAGCCACTGCCAGAAATCCTAGACAATTCGGTCTCACCGATCAGGATCTCAGCTTCATCGAGATGACCTTGCAAACTCTCTGTGGCCTATTGTAATTATGTAGGTCTCATCAAAATGTGTAATCGGTCCCACCGAGTTTCCTTAACCAACTCTCTGTTTGCTCATTGCTGAAATCGCTCTCACCGAATTTATGCAATCGGTCTCACCGAGATGAGGTTTTGCCCTAACCCTAGCACATCGGTCCCACCGAGTTGATCATGTTGGTCCCATCAAGATTCGTAACGTTCACATTTTGAACTTAATCGGTCTGACCGAGTTGGGTCAAATGTCTGTAATGGTTGAATTTTGTGTGGAGGCTATATATACCCCTCCACCCCCTTCTCCATTTGAGAGAGAGCCGTTAGAACGTGCCTACACTTCCACTACTAATTTTCTGAGAGAGAACCACTTACTCATGTGTTGAGACCAAGACATTTCAAATCCAACCACAAGAATCTTGATCTCTAGCCTTCCCCAAGTTGCTTTTCACTCAAATCATCTTTCCACCATAGCCAAATCTATGAGAGATAGTTGAGTGTTGGGGAGACTATCATTTGAAATAGATGAGCATCATCACACCATCTATTACCTTTTGGAGAGTGGTGTCTCCTAGATTGGTTAGGTGTCACTTGGGAGCCTCCGACAAGATTGTGGAGTTGAACCAAGGACTTTGTAAGGGCAAGGAGATTGCCTACTTCGTGAAGATCTACCCGAGTGAGGCAAGTCCTTCGTGGGGCGATGACCATGCTGGGATAGACAAGGTTGCTTCTTCGTGGACCCTTCGTGGGTGGAGCCCTCCCTGGACTCGCGCAACCGTTACCCTTCGTGGGTTGAAGTCTCCATCAACGTGGATGTACGATAGCACCACCTATCGGAACCACGCCAAAAATTTTCGTGTCTACATTGTGTTTGCCTTCTCCAAACCTTCCCTTTACCTTCATATGCAATTTTTTACTTTTCATTGGTACATTCTTAGAATTGCATGTGTAGGTTGATTGCTTTACTTGTGATAGTTGCTAAAGTCTGCCAACACTTAAAATTGGGAAAATGTTAGATTTTTAGTTGGTCAAGTAGTCTAATTACCACCCCCTCTAGACCTAGTTTCAATCCTACACCAGGACACAAGTGTGGAGGCGAGGAAGATGTAGTAGCCTGATGCAGACCGTTGTGTATCGAGGCAGCCCACCAAGTCAGCATCACTGTTGAATAGAACCATGAGTTCGACCATCACGTTTGTTCTCGTCTCTACATGGTATCAGATTGATCGTGTTTCCCACAATCCTCCTTTTCGTTTTCACCATAGATCTTTCCGATCTCTCATATACAGGGAGCAGCCCATACAAGTCCCTCACCAACTGACTTGTAAACTCTAGGAGATGAGCTTATCCAGTCGTGGTTAGTGGGAGACGTTGGGCGGCAACGTGCAAGTGTGGACTGGTTTCAACATATTTAAAGGTTGAAATATAGTGAATATGATTTTACATGCAACCAAGTCAGTCTTCATATTTTCTGGCGATCACCTCCCTATCCATTATGACAATTATGCCTGAGTTGCTTTCAGTACGACACTGAAAGCATAAACCAAGTCTAACAAGTGGGACGGGAGTAAAAGGGACCGGCTAAAAGGCAGTTGCCTTAATTCGATTTGGTTCGGTCTTTTTATTTCTGTCGTGTCCAACAGAGTTAGCTATGCTGGATGCTGAGAAAACAAATGAAGGCATGACATGTACATGTAGGTGCAGCTCACCGACTGCGCACATGACAATGAATTCGTTCACCCGTTTCGAAAAAAAAGACAATGAATTCGTTCACATACCTGGCATGTACATGGTGTATGTATGTCTATGAACTAACGTTCCTTCATATCAATGGAGCACAATTAGTGGCATTGTATTATCCTTTAAGAAACAAATGAAAAGCAATAAAACAAATAATGACAAAATTTACACATGATTTACACATAAATTTTGTTTCTATAGAATACAGAAATAATCATATAATAGTGAAATTTGCACAAAAAGAAAGTTTTCTAAGAAGAAATAAATTCGTTACATTGGTATTACCATTAAAGAAGAAGGAAATGAAATAAAAAACAAAATTAAAATCAAAATAATGATTTTTTAATAAAGAATGAATTAGTGGCATTGATATTACCCTTTAAGAAGAAAGAGAATGAAAAGTAATAAAAATGACAATAATTGCACACAATTTGCATAGAAATTGTGCTTTTTTATAATACACAAGAATAAACAATATAGTAGTGGAATTTGCCTCAGTTTCCTAAGAAGGAATAAATTAGTGACGTTGGCATTACCATTAAAGAAGAAGAAATAAAATAAGAAAACTAAAACTAAATCAAAACTATGAAATTTTCTAAGAAAGAATGAATTGGTAGCTTTGGTGTTACCTTTTAAAAAGAAAGAAAATGAAACAAAAACTAATATAAAATGAAAATAGTGAAGTTTCCTAAAGAAAGAATGAATTACTAGCATTGGTATTATCTTTAAGAATAAAGAAAATGAAAACAAATATAAAACAAACAATCACCAAATTAGAGAAGTATGAAATTATAAAAATAACTAAAAAATAAAATTAGTGAAGTTTAATATGCAACAACATGAATTAGTGGCATTGGTATTACCTTTTAAAATAAGAAGAAAAAATGTGCACACAACCCTGCACTGAAATTCCATTAATTTGTATTATGCAAAAATAATCATATAATAATGTACTTTTTGTATATATTTTATATTTACACTCACGCAACATCCCAAATATACCCAAAAAAGACTAATAAAGAAAAGATCAAGAGCAAAACACATAAAAAAAAGGAAAAGAAAATCAAAAGGAGATAGGGGTTTGCCTGGCCGCACAGGTAATGGGCTTCAGCTAGCCCATTAAGGAATTGTCTGGCCCAAATTGGTTGTCAATCAAAAGAACCAACCCGTAACAATTCATTACCGTGGGAAAAAGCACGAATTTTAATGCAGAAATCAATGGCCGAAAATCGACTTACCCAAGATCGATGTTAACACGACTTACATATAGCTAAAGTGCTAGAAATTTCAGACAATCGTGAGTTTAAGTGTGTTGTATTCGTTGTTTGGGGCTGAGTATCCCTTGACCCTCTGCTCTAAGCATCATGTTCATGCCACCTTTCATTTGTGTCGTGTGTTGTATCACTTTTTTACTCATATTCTCTCGCTTCCATCAATGAAAAGATATGCAGACTTTACGTATTAGAAAAAAAAAGGCATGGAATGAACTCAAAACGCGAATCTGATGCATAATTATTCAGGAAGCAATAACTAGCTGAATTTACTTACACTTTCGTCAACAACATCGTGGTTAATTATCAAATACTACTAACAATCACTGGTCTCGTACGCACTAGTCGATGTGCTAGTAGCTAGGAGAGAACTACAGCTTTGCTGAGGATCCAGAGCACGAGGGTCATCTCGAAGGCGAAGATGGTGTGGAGGAGGCCCCTGTCGAGCGTGAAGCCGAACAAGGTGATCCCGCCACTGTTGTGCCACAGGTACGTCACTGAGCACACACCAACAAACTTAATTGTTATGTTAAAAAAAACTTAATTGTTATATTAAGAAAAAATTCGATTGCTCTATTATTCCTTTATTATCGTCCTAAGAAAATAGTCTTGTTACCAAGAGCTTGTCTGCTTTTGTAGTCGCATCCTGCTCCGGGGAGCAACGGCGCCGTCAGAGCGACCGCGTCGATGTCGCTCGCCGACGTGCTGATGCCCGGTTTGCCGTGGTGCAGAGCGGCGGACACCATGCGCATGTGCCACTGGCTGGCGATGGACACGATCCTCTGGGCTCGGTGCGTGATCCTTGCCGCGCCGAACAGGCACATGAAGAACCCACTCAGCTGCACCGACGAACCAACCTGCAACAATGCAGCAATGCTTGTACTATTACTTATACAACAAGCATGTAGGAGTACTACTCGCTGATGGACACACGGTGGTGCGTACTACGTACCAGTAGGTCGCCGGAGTTGGCGAAGCTCTTGCCGTCCTTGGAGGAGAGGGCGACGAGCAGGGCGCCGAGCTGGCTGACGGTGATGGTGACGAGGCAGCAGATGATGAACACCCTGTACCGGTGGCTGGTGGCCAGCAGCTGCGTCCGGATGCGGCGGTGCTCAAGGAAGATCTCGTCGGCGGCGGCGCACGCCTCCGCGTCGAACATGTGGTAGATCCCCTCGAAGCGCAGGATCTGGAGCTCGCAGGTGAGGCGGAACAGCACGCACACCAGCAGGAACACCCCCGTGCGGTACACCCACGACGCCACCGTGGCCACCAGCGCCACCGCGCGCCACGGCACGTGCGGGAGCGGGAGCGGCGGCTCCACGCGCACGGTGGAGAAGAAGAAGACGGCCTTGTGCGCGGCCTCCACGCAGAGGGCCGGGACGAGCAGCGCTGCCAGGAGGCGGAACGCGCGGTCCAGCTCCCGCTCGTAGCGGCGGCGGACGAACGCGGTATCGTCGCGGAGCCCCCCGTCGAGGAACAGCAGCTGCCGGAGGCCGCCGCAGCTGCGGAAGAAGACGGCCAGCGTGACGAACGAGACGGCGGCGAGCCCCGACGCCGTGAGCGTGGCCACGCGGTTGAAGGTGACCGCGGACGCGGAGGCCGGGGACAGCGAAGTGTCGGCGCGGAGGGAGGCTGTGACAGCGGCGGGCACGGCGAGCGCCAGCGCGAGGAAGGCCGTGTACGAGGCGGCGCGCTTGGCGGGGGAGGAGTGGTCGAGCGCGCACCACTGCAGGAACACGCGGAAGCTGCGCAGCTCGTCGTGGATGACCGACTTGCTCCGCGCGTAGGCCGGGTCCAGGAGCAGCGGCTGCGATGGCCAGGACGTCGGGGTCCGCGGCGGAGACGGGTCCTCCAGCGAGCTCTGCTCCTCCTCGGACGCCATGTGTACGGGCTCCGGCTGGCCCACGCCGTGTCACCGCCGTAGGCGCTACTAACTCCGCTGACCCGCAGTTGGCCCGCGTCATGTAGTATATAGCAGCGCCCGTCGAGACCGGAGATGGACGGGGGCAAAGGAGAGGCGCGGGAGGGGAGCTCGTGACGATGGTTCACAAGGGCGGCAAGGCGCGTGACGCATATGAGCGCGCGGCAAGATGTGTGATTGAAAAGCTACGTGCAGAGACGAAGCTGGAAAGGCTCGCGGGCTGCATGGACACCGGGACTCACACGGGAAGGTGCTGGTCACCACCGGCCGGCCTCAGATTGTTGCCTGTGGCTGTGTACGGACGGAGTAGTTCTTGGTCAAATGTTGTGTCAAGTGTCAACGTGTGGCGGGGCGGCCGAACAACAGTGTTGGAGCACCTGGGCATGGACTGGTCTACTGTAGCATTTGTGGCTAGGAGCTCTGTCCATGTGATCTGAGTCAATGCCCTGAACAGATTTACGCAACAACAACAACAAAAAAAACACTTCATAAATAAATCAGTGTAAAATCTTCAGAACTTCAGGTACGTAGAAAATAAATCGAGTAAAATACACAGAACCACCACTTTCATGTCATAACTTTCGAAAAACCACCACTTTACAAAACGTGACACTTTGTACTGCATCGGAATTTTGATAGTGGCAAAAAACACTGAACACAGAAATGATCTCGTTTTGACGTGACCAATCGCGTGCGGGTCGACAGCGGAGACGGTGCGCCGCTAGCGGCTGGTAATGGCCGTTCGGAAGCGGCCGACTTGGCTCGGTCGAAAGCGGGCGACGCGGGCTGGTCAACGCGCTGGCTGGCTGGCTCGTTCGTCCCGTAGCCAGTCGGTCGGTGGGTCCGCTCTTTTTTTTCAGGTAGCCGTCGGTCGTTTGCAGCGTAGCCCTGGCCGTTCCGTTTCACATTGAATTCAGAACCCTCATCTTCCTTCTCACCGCATTCAGTACCGGTCACTTCGCTCGCACAGAAAATCACCACCGGTCCTCTCTCCTATCCTCTCGCATCACCACTGTCGGTGTGAAAACCGGCGGATCTTGGGTAGGGGGTCCCGAACTGTGCGTCTAAGGCGGATGGTAATAGGAGGCAGGGGACACGATGTTTTACCCAGGTTCGGGCCCTCTTGATGGAGGTAAAACCCTACGTCCTGCTTGATTTATTCTTGATGATATGGGTAGTACAAGAGTTGATCTACCACGAGATCGGAGAGGCTAAGCCCTACAAGCTAGCCTATGGTATGATTGTATGTTGTCCTACGGACTAAAACCCTCCGGATTATATAGACACCGGATGGGGCTAGGGTTACACAAGGTCGGTTACAAAGGAGGAGATATACATATCCGTATTGCCTAGCTTGCCTTCCACGCCAAGTAGAGTCCCATCCGGACATGGGACGAAGTCTTCAATCTTGTATCTTCATAGTCCAACAGTCCGGCCAAAGTATATAGTCCGGCTGTCCGGAGACCCCCTAATACAGGACTCCTCAGTAGCCCCTGAACCAGACTTCAATGACGATGAGTCTGGCGCGCAGTGTTGTCTTCGGCATTGCAAGGCGGGTTCCTCCTCCGAATACACCACAGAAGAATTTGAATACAAGGATAGTGTCCGACCCTACAAAATAAGTTCCACATACCACCGTAGAGAGAATAATATTACCACAAATCTAATCTGCTGACACTTTTTGGCAGCATGATTTCACACCACGGCCCGGTAATTATTTGAACCGTTTTTCTTTAACCAGCCCCGCACATAACGCGAGGCGGTTTCTTGACACGTCTTGTCATAGCAGAGTTCGTGTTCCCCTTATTACGAGATTCTCATCAATACGGACGTGGGTAACCCAACCGCGCCATCAATTACGACGCTTGAGGGATAAGCGGGTTTTACCAGGCTAGTGGGGGCGCATAGTTTAGTCCGCCCTTATAAAGGGATAAGATCTCACCTTTTTCTACCCACACCTTCTTCCTCATTGCTCATCCATTCTCACACACTCGAGCACCAGCGCCCAAGTCCGCATCCTCCTCCCCAACTCTCTCCGAACATGTCCGGAGCGGGAGGCAAGTGGATGGCCTCCTCCGTCATGGAGGGGCACATCAAAAAGTTACGTGGAGCCGGATACTTAGCCGCGGACATCGCGCACCGGCTGCCAGCCGCGGGGCAGGTCGTCCCTACCCCGGAACCTCATGAAAGGGTGGTTTTCCTCCCCCACTTCGTCTGCGGATTGGGGTTTCCCCTCCATCCATTCGTCCGCGGCCTCATGTTCTACTACGGGCTGGACTTTCATGATCTGGCCCCGAATTTCATCCTCAACATCTTGGCGTTCATCGTCGTGTGCGAGGCTTTCCTCCGCATCCGGCCCCACTTCGGCCTATGGCTGAAGACCTTCAATATCAAACCGAAGGTTGTAGGCGGCCAACAAGTGGAATGTGGCGGAGCCATGGTGGGCAAAATGCCCAACGTTGCATGGCTCGAGGGCTCCTTCGTGGAGACCGTAAAGGGGTGGCAATCTGTAACACCCCGGATGTAACTTTCCCTATTTGTACTCCAACTCTTGTCGTTTCCGGTGTTAAGTTATATTTATTTCTCGGGTTCGGGTCTTTGTCTCTGTGTGTTGTTGTCTTTGTCATGCATCTCATATCATGTCATCATGTGCATTGCTTTTGCATACGTGTTCATCTCATGCATTCGAGCTTTTTCCCCGTTGTCCGTTTTGCATTCCGGCGCTTCGTTCTCCTCTGGTGGTTATTTCTAGCTTTCTTTCGTGTGTGGGGTTTAAACATTTGCGGATTGGACCGAGACTTGCCAAGCAGCCTTGGTTTACTACTGGTAGACCGCCTGTCAAGTTTCGTATCATTTGGACTTCGTTTGATACCCCAACGGTTAACCGAGGGACCAAAAAGGCCTCGTGTGTGTTGCAGCCCAACACCCCTCCAATTTGGCCCAAAACCCACCAAACTCTGCTCCATGTCCTAGAGCGTTCGATCACGATCACGTGGCCGAAAACCGCACCTCATTTGGACTCTCCTAGCTCCCTCTATGCCTATATATATACCTTCCCCTTCTAAAATTCCCGGATCCCCTCTCCCCGAAACCCTAAAAACAGATCTCGCCGCCGCCGGACACGTCCGGACGGACCGGACGCGTCCGCCCCGTCACCTCGGCCACTCCCGCCGCGACGCGTGTCGCTGCCGCCTCCACCAACCGCGCCGGCTCGGAGAGCCCGCATGCGGCCCTCCCGGCCCGGCTTCTTCGCGCCGCCCTTCGTTCCCGCGCGCCGCCCGCCGCCTCGAGCGCCGACCGCCTCCGGCCGCCGCGCCGCCATCACCGGCGACCGCGTCTTCGGCAAGCCGCGCCGCCCCGCCTCGACTTCCGCGTCCATGCCGCCGCCTCCTCGTCGCCACTCGCCGCCGCGCGCCGCCCTCCTCCATCTCCGGCCACCGGAGCAAGTCCGGCGACCTCGGCCCCCATCTCCGGCGACCTAGGCGACTCCGGTGAGCTTCGGTGAACAGTGGGCTACAGTGCAGATCTCAGATCTGAAAAAAACCCTATTCTCGGGTTGACTTTCCCCTCTCATCTCAATATTTTTATGCCTACTTTGACCTGTCGTAACTTTGCATCCGTAGCTCCAATTTGGGCATATAGTATATCAAAATGTTCGCCTCGATGAGTACATCATTTCATTCCATTGCGTCATTTTCATTTGAGCTCATCTTGATGCTCGAAATTCTGTTAGAAGGAGGCCTCGTGAGTTAATTGTCAGATCTGCTAGTTCATCTTAGACTTTTGTCATTTTTGCCATGATTATTGTGTGCATGATATGCCTGTGAGTCCTTCATATGTTTTGTTAAGGATTTTGTTATCTTTCTAGAGGTGCAACCCATGCATTTTTAGGATGTGTTTGGTGACTTGTGCAAGTTTGCAAAGTGAGGCACCCGGTAAATCTGTTTTCAGGGACTTAGTGAAAACTACTAAGTCTGGGATTATTTAGTTCATGATGCCATATGTTTAGCTTGTTTCCTAGTGATCCGTACCTCTTTTGAGGATGATCAGTAAAGGAGTTTTGTTAATCATGTTATGCTCTATCCATCCATGCCTTTACTTGTAATTATGGAGCACCCTAGCTTGAGTCAATTGAGCTCTACTTTTGCTTCGTGGTGAATCTGGGCAGATCGTCAACTCGTTTGCGATTTTTTGCCGATGCTATTGTAGTTGGTCCGTGCATGCTATACCATTTTTCGTGCCATGTCTAGCTTATATTTTGTGCCTTATTAATAGATGTATGCTTGTCTTGCCATGACTTGCACCGTAGTGAGTGCATCGAGCTCGTTTACATGCCTTCGTGAGTTATATTTCAGCATGTCTCAGTTTTCACTAAGTCTGAAAACTGATTGTGTTTTAGCTATGTTCGTGTGCCCGTTAGTATATTTTGTGATCCCTTTTGACCCCAGGTCACTTAGGGACTTTTGTTAAGCTTGTTGAGTAGCTTCATTCTATGTTCTTACTTGTCTTAATCAGGTCATGTATCATGTTGTTTTGCTGTTCCGAAGAGGGCTTAGTGATCTGAAATTTCAGACAAGTGTTAATTTCGCTAAGTCTGAAATCTGTTTTGCATTTGCGTTTCTGCCATGCTTGTTTGAACCCCATAATGGATGAATTGGCCGTGGCTCAGTGCTAGTCTTTTGTTAAGCATCTTGTGTGCATCCCTGCCATGTATTTTGTTGTCATGTTTGGTGGCTGTAGCATTTTCATTTCATTGCATTTAGATGCCTACTTGCTGTAAATTGCAGACCGATGTCATTCTTAAAACGCTTGCCGTTTCCAAACCGTAACTCCGATTCCGATGATCTTTATATCATTTTCAAGCGATTTCATCTCATCTTTCCAGTGGCACACTTGGAATTCCAAGTTGAGGCCAGGTTCATGCATTTCCTGTCATATCTTGCATTTTGCATCCCGCATCG